TCATTGAGTAAAGAGAAAAATGAAATTAAGATGATATTCGACTATACTAACACCGAATATTATCAGTATTATTAAGTGTATTAATATTTACCGGTTATTTTGAAATAAAAAGCAAACAGTAATATCTACCTGCCTTATTATATGCGTATTTCAACGAATACTTTAATTAATACATGCATAGTATGAGTAATGAATAACAAAAAATATAATAATATGGAGTGAGAGATGAGATAGGAATTAGATTTTGTTATTAATAAAAATTAGTTTACAAAAAGAGTTTCATTACTTTTGTGAAAATTATTAATTTTTTTACTTATTCGAATGAATTTTCTGTAAGCTTGATAAGATTAGTATATATACAACGGTCTACGAATTCTAAAACTTTATCTAAAAAATAGTCATAAATTTATACATACAGAATTTTTATAATTGATAAATAAAATTCAAAATATCAAATAAAATAAAATAAAATTATCTATATATTTGAATTTAAGATATGAATTTAAAAATTTTTAAGATCAGTAATCTGAACATTCAATTTTCTTAATAATAATTAAATTTGATACGAATATAATATTTTAGACGTTTAATTGATTCATAATATGATGTTTATTTATATTCTATTTTTTATTATACTTTATTAATTCGAGATGCAACTTTCATTGGCATCCATTTTTATAAAAGATTATATATTAGGAATAAATACAAAAAATTGATTTTTCAATGCACTTAATTGAAACTAATAAAAAGTTTGACAGTGAAAATGATTAAATTAATTATAAACTTTAGTCGATCAATTTTTTAGCAGTTATTAGCTCTTAATTACAAATTTTGATTAAACATATAAATAAGTGTTAATATTTAAAAAATAATACAAGTTTGAATATTTTTACTTTTAAAATTTGTCTTAATACTAGTTATTCGTAACAATATCAATAAATATCAATATCAATAAAAATACAATTATACAAGTTTATTTTAGTTTTATATATTTATTATGTGCGTATACGTATTATTATAGTAATATAAATTATATGCTTACAAATGATTATGATTGATATAAAAATAATGTGTAGTATAGAAGCCAAAATATAAATAACACGTAGTACGGTATGAAAGATAACATACATTCACTGTATATTCATAACGTAGTTAAATAAATTAGTTGACTTACACATTTTTTACTTTTAAAGTAGAAGTATAATTAAACATATATAATTCACTTTTTTTTTTAAATCTATTGTAAATAAAATAAAGTATTCTATGTATATGTGAGAAAAAAATTTAATTACTTCTTAAACTAATCCTTACCATTTGATTACTTTTTTATTAGATCGTAGACAGAAAAAAGTTACTTAAACACATATTAATGCAAACTATTTTAATTCGTGATATTAAACTAAACTTAATTATACGTTAAAATTAAATGATAAAAAGTAGCTGAATTTTTCAATAAAAGAATTTATAATAAAAATGCAATCTAATGCATCAATAAAATTTTCAGACTCATATTACTCATACAATTTATTCTTGGATATTATATTTGAATTCAAGTAATTAAAGAATAGAATTAGTGTTATTTTAATTTAACTATACAATTTAAAATGTGTGTGTATATATATATATATATATATATATATACACATAATTAACATTCATCAATTTAAATAGAAATTTAAATTTTGTTTTAATATAAATATGGATATTTATATATAAAACAATTTTATAGAAAATTAACAATACTTACATTTATAAAATAGAATATATATTAGATTAAAATATTACTTAGTATGACGACATGTTATGATAACAATAATTCATCCTAATTATTCAAAAGCATTTATTTAATAATTCGTGAATAAATATTATAATTCATGTCAGGTTATACATTAGTTTATGTCGGGATAATCTTCTATACAGATTTTATATGCATTATTTTAATGGGATAACATAAATTGTAACATAATAAAAAAATGTTTAAATTTTATAAAAATACTTGTATATCTTGTACTCTTGTGATCAAAAATATATTAATGATATAACATTTCCATAATGTTTGTGTTTTACGACAAATAATGCTAACAGAGATTTGATTATAACTGAGACCTTATCATGTTCTAATATTCAAATATAAAAATACATGGTGATTTTGTACCTTGAAATATGATAAAACTAAATAGATTATTTATCGAATTAATTTTTATTATATAATTTTATTAATATAATAATTATTAGTACAATTATTCTATAGTAAACTAACTAATTATGAATTAATTAAATATAAATTAAAAGTTAAGTAATTAACTAATTCCTTTAAAATAACAAATATAATTCTTTAAGATATTAACTCTATTTTTAAATTATAATTCAAATTATAGAATTAAAATTAGCTATCAATTTAATCATTGAATGAGTATTTAAATTATTATATTAATATTATATATACACGAATTAATTGAATCAGAATTCAATTAAAATTAATTCTTTTATAAATAACTATAATATACATATTTATTTATTTATTTAATAAGCTTTTTAAAAAATTTTATTATTGTTTATTGTTTTATTTTAATTAAAAAAAATTCATATGAAATATATCACGATAACTGATCAAATATGTTTATATTCTCTGGGCACATATAGTGAAAGAATATTGATACTAATATTAAGAGGCAAAGCTTCTATTTAAAATCAAAATAATTTCAAGGTTAATATAAAAAATATAATATCTTATAAAATGAATAATTTAAATATAAATAAATAGTTAGATAATTAGATATAAATAGATAAAAATAGATGTTATTGCATTTATATATAACGCATAAAATATGTTTTCATACGTAATACATATTGAATATTTAAACTAATTTTTATTTGTTTACATTTAATTCAAAAAACAATTTAAATTAATCATGAATACTTAATGAAATTTAAAAAATTCTCTATTTTTTACTTAAGTTTTTAAAAGATTGATTTTATTATTTTTTTTTAAATCTTTTATTACAATCGGCGTAAGACCAGAAAAATATTGGTAATCCTCGACGTGTTTTTGACGTATCTGCAAAAACATTATTCCGATAATAGATAACAAAATAATTTCAAGGGAATGAATGAGAGCATGTTTGTTAATATTATAATACAGTTACAATAAAAAAATTAACAACATAACTATCCTATCCCATCTGGATCAGAGTAACCAATTTTAATTTATCACTAAATAATTCTATAACAAATCAACAAAATTAGACAGATTGCAATGAATTAATTAATTTGTTAACAGAAATTTTTTAATTTTCTAGATTTACCGTAATGGTTCATATTGCCTTATTCATCGGTTGTAAAATATTTATCCATTTTTCAGTTCTCTATTTATTATTTTGCAAACATAATAATTTCAAATTCCCATGGAAATTCGTTTTTCTTTTTAACAAAAAATGTTTAAGATTCAAGTAATTCTTGAAATAATTGATACATTGTTTAATTTATATCAGTTTTCATATGAAACCAGTAAGTTAGTAGATACAAACACCATTGTGCTTCATTTTGTTATAATTCTAATTAACTAGATAAAGAGATGTTTATCAAAGAATTCTTTTTATTAGAACGTTATAGAGTAGTTATGGTTTTAGAAAAATTTTTTCTAAATTAAAAATTAATAACTTATAATAAACCTTATTAAAATTACAAGAAAATGTACAGTCTATAATTTCTCCTTACATTCAATATGATTTTAATGTTAAAATTAATGTATTTAATATTTATCAACAAATATAAATACATATTAATAAGCATTATAAATTTACGCATATATTATATATCTTATTATACACTTACATTTTAATACAGTAATTATATTATTGTATATAAAACTTTTACAAAAAGATGGCTACCATTATAAAATATTATAATAATATTGAACAGATAATGCATTATTAAAACTCGTATAATAAATTTTTAATATTGTAAATTAGTTTGTTATAGTGGTATTTACTATGAAAATATTTAACACATATTTAAAAATAATTTGGTCACTAGAGGAATACTATTAATAAATTAACTTAAAAATACTTATTTAAAAATTAAATTTAAAAATTCTAAACTAAAAAATTTCTTTATTTAAATTGTAATTGCTACTGATAAAAGTATAAAATATTAATAAAAAATATGGGTAATACAAATGTTAAATATGTCTTTATTAAAACACAACGCTTATTATTATTGCAATAATTTTTATTTATAAAAATTGAAAGAATTGAAAAGATTCTTTTATTAGAAAGCATTTTCTTAATCATAAAATCTTAATAATCTATAAAATATTTAATAAGTATTAAAAATATTGAAAATTATGAAATATACCATAAAAATTTCATACGTAGTCAAGTTAAAATATATTCATAGCAATAATTATAATTATTTTAAAAGCTCGTTCCTTTTTTATATAAGATTTTTGAAGCGAATATACAATATAATTTATTAAAAAAAATTATTGCTCTCTGTTACTTAAAATGTTAGATTTCTTAATTTAAAATGCGAATATACTTGTGAATGGCTTAAAAGTAAAAGGCATATAAATGTTTAGATACCTAAAATCTTATTTTATATAATTTAATGAATATTTTATTTGAATAATGTTTTATGGTATAATTTACAATTTTAGATGTGTTATAAATAAGTGGTTCTATAATGAAAGATAAATCTAACTATTTAATTCGGTAGGCAAAAAGTTCTATCTATGATAAATTATCAGAATTAAAATTTGTTCTTAATAGTCTATTTCTAATAATTTACTTTTCGCTCTAAAAATTTATCTGTATTTTCAACTAATTATTTTACAATTTTATATTTAAATGATCTTATTCAACATCATGCGATTACTTGTGTTATCAACCTTCTCATCCGAGCTTATTTGAACGCATGCCTTAACTATTTTATGTATACTTCAGTATTAGTGCAATCACACAGCTCACTTTATATATCAACTTATATAACTAAAACGGCCTCTCTCTTTTTGTTCTTTCCAGTACTGTTGAACAAGAAAATCTTTACGTTATTTCATTGTAGTATAATCAGTCGTTGAGTATACATTAGTTATAAAATACACCGTATGCATTTGCTATATATATTTATTTCTGATTGCTTTATTATAATATTTTCTATGTTCATAGTTTCTTTAATTTTAATCAAGTATGGATAATAAAAGAAGGGTGAACAAGCAAAATCCTATAGGCAAAACCAACTATATTTGTAATTTATTTTTTTGGTATGTATTATTAAAATCATAAATGAACGTAATTTGATTATAAATCTGTATTATTTTTATTAATATTAAAGCATGTATATTATAATACCGCTTTATATCATTCAAATTTTCATTATAATCTATACAATAATTAAATTCGTTAAAAAAATTAAAAAATGATCGATTGCAATTAATACATGACAATACATTTATTATATTGCACAAATCATTTTTTATTAATTTTTTCATACAAAAATTAATTTATTTTATAAAATTTTAATTCATCTCGAAAATTTGAACTAAACTTATATTCGAACAATACAATGTCAATAGCCTTTAAATATAAAATAAAATTATTGATTAGTATATTATTATAATAATATTAGATACTTTTTGTTAAATTTTAATTTTAAAGTATGAGAATGGAATTTCAATATTTTCTTCGTTTTTGCTGCATATGTCTCACATTCCAATTTAAATCTCAAATCCATTTTAACAAGATTTACTTGTATATTGATTTATACGATTTTATAATAGTTATTAAGAATTTTATTTTAACAATGATATATTTCAAGATTTTTTTAAGTAGCATTTACACTATTAAAAAATTAATTTTCATTTATGCTATTAATATATTATCATATTCTGAATTAAATAAAAATTTTCTATGAATTTATTAACATAAATAGAATATAATATTAATTGTCAAATAATCTTATTACAAAATGTGTACATTGATATTAGTGTTTAGAAATTAGAAACTGGAATTACATACTAAAATTGCTTAACTATTCTAGCCATGAAAAAAAATCCTAGATTAATGTAATGTATTATATACATCTTATTAAAAAACAGAGAGACAAGCAGATAAATTTATTAGTAATGATTTTTTTTTAATTCTTATTTAATTTTTGTATTGTGTACATGTGTTTCATATAAATAACTGTGCAAATTACATAAAATTATAAAAATGTATTATTACAATATTTTAGAAGATATGTGTTTTTTTTTACTTTAAAATAATACATAGATTTATTGTTATTATTGAATTTAAATTAAAATAAATTCATATCTGTATTATTATAGAGATATAAGACATTGTTTTAATAATGATAAATAATAATTTAATAATGGTATTTCATTATGGAACTTTCTTTATCATCAATGTTTAATTATTATACTTAAACGGAGTTTATTCATCATTGTACTACTTAATTGTACACCAATGTACCAGTTAATTATACATTAAATTTAAGGAAAATAAAATAAATAAAATTTTTATATTAAAATTAAAAAAATTATTACGTTCATTGATTTTTATAAATTGCTTTTTACAATATATCAGATTTTATAAATTTATAATATTTCTTACGTTTACAGTTGTTTATTTATAATTAAATATTCATATGTAATAGAATAAATTTAAGAGAACTTGTAAAAACTTATTAGGAGCTGAATATTTATATAAAATTATACTAAATACATTAAATAAATATATTATATGACGTTTAATTAATGTATTATATTAAGAATCATAATTTTTAAAAATACAATATAAATAAAAACTAAGATTGTTAGACGATAAAATGTTGAACAGTACACCAATAATTAATCTTTTTTGGTATCTACCAATGTAAATATAAATGTTCCATTAAAACTTAATTATTTTTAATTCTTGCAGGTACACAAAAGATATCTTTTGGAAGAGCAATCACAGAAATATAACATTGGATGACATATATGATCCTGTTCATACTGATAAATCGGAATACCTTGGAAATCGGCTTGAAACGTAATTAAATTTGAAATATTCGCTATTTGAATAACTTGTGTAATTCCTTATTTTTGATTGATTATCACTATCATTATATGAATTATGATTTTAATATATTGATATAAATAATATAGTATTACTCAACTCATAAATAAAAATTATGTATCTGTGTTTTCCAAATATATATATATATAATCATTAAACCATAAAAATACATATTATAAATAAAAAATGTAATAATAAAATATACAAAGATTATATTAGCTTTGATTAAATGAAACACATTAATGAGATTTTTATTGTATATTTTATGGTATGAATAAAGATGACATCAGAAATGAATAGATATTTTACTTGAATATCAATTTGAATGTCAAACTTGAATATTAAGAGTATCGACTATTTATAATTTATTTGATTATGTAACTTAAATGAAATAACGTTAATGCTTAATTTTTTATTCTACATTTATTTTACCTCAATAACGTTATTACAATAACATTGTTGTTATTCAAAGAAGAATTTATATTCTGATATTTGTAATTCCGTTTAACATTTTCAAAGTTGTAACGATCATTTCCGTCTTCATATGTTTTATATTGAAAACTAATGTAATATAAATGCCATGCAGATATAATTTTATTATATAAATGTATTATATGAGCTACTGTATTATCTATGCAGTTTTAATGAAATTAGAAAGAAAAAGTTTTTGCATAAATATGTTAAGGATATATTTATATATAATCATATAGTATTATAAAAAATAAAAATATTTATATAATTAGTTTATTTACTGATAAATTAATGATTATAATTTTATTTAATTAATAATAATTTGTTAATAGTAAAAGTATTATAAATTTTTTAATTTTACTTTATAACGAATATGCTAATTTATACAAAACATTATTAATAGTTATCCATTAAAATAGGTACTGAAATATTTTTAAAATATTTTTTAGCAAAATTTTTTACTTTTTGTTTAAGTTATGAATTATTGTTCCGAAAATGAAGTATCCACTTTTTAAATAAATAATATCCTAGATAATGAAGAAAAAAAATTTATGGAATACTCCATTCTATTTTTTAATATTTAAAGTTTAAATTTGTATTCATATACTACATATTTAAATTTTGGATCGTATATTATTACGTAATTTAAAATATTTTGTATTTACATAAATATTTAACTAAGTAAATTATCAAATTAATAATCATACAAAACATATATTTACAGAGAATGGAATCATGAACTGGAAAAATGGAAAAAAAAAAAGTATATAGTTGATAATAAAGGGGATAAGATATTGTCAAAATTAACTCGACCAAGCCTTTCAAAGGCCCTCATTCGCATGTTTTTTTGGCAGAATGTCATTCTATCTATAATTCAGGCACTAAATTTCTTAGTCTTGATAGTCTGTCACCCTATATTTCAGGGATGGGTTATAGATTACTTCAAGGTCGGTGGAAGTGAGAATATTGACGAACGTAATCGAGCTTTCTTTAATGCCACAATTATGATTCTAATAAAGCTAGTTACGGTCTTGTTCCAACAACATGCTTATCAATTGGCATGTAGAATGGGCATGCGTGCTCGAGTGGCTTGCTGCAGTTTAATGTATAGAAAGGTACTTACTTATGTGTACAATTTCCATTATAAACAATAATTTAAAAAAATTAAAAATATATTATCGTAGTACATTTTTAGTAAAAAATTTGAAAACATTATTTCTGTTTTAATTATAATATATTTATTATTATTTATATATATATATATATATATATATATATATATATATAGTTATAATTATAATTATATATACAGTTATCATTATGTCATTTAATAGAAATGTCTGGATTACTTTCAATTTTAAGCTCCAATATAATTAATTGAAATGAAATTATATTTATTAAGTCGGCATTAAATATATTATTAATGCCTAAATTTTATTGTTTGTAATAATTTCTTTTATAAATTATAGATCAGTTTTGAAATTTTAATAAATAATCTTGTTGAAACTCACCAACTCTATTATTTTCTATAAAAATTTTAAGTGCTACTTCAAATTAAAATAAATAAGATTTTTTTTTTTCATTTGAAAATATCAAAATGACATTATAAAATAATTAAAAAATATTAAAAATAGAATATATCATATAATTAATTTTTTTTAATAATTTATAAATAGAATAAATGTTTCTATTCTATTATTAAGATAAAATTGAAATTATTCAGAAGACTTTGTTCAATATTATTAAAAAGTAAATAAATTTCAATAAATTTAAAATTAAATTTATATTATTATCATGATATTTATTACATCTAAGTTTTGCTATGATACATAGTATACTTTTCATTACATATGGACACATAATTTCATTCTATTCTCCAAGTCTGATAATAATCATTGTTTATTATAGTCTAGAAGCTTTAATAATATGTTTTATTTTATTTCGGACCTTTTATGTAGTAAAAGGTAGAATTACTTGAATCATTGAAAAAGTGCTATAACTTAAATGCAAAAACTTATTTATGTATAATTAAATATATGTATACATATATATATACACATATATGTGTGCGTATATAATATTATAATTATAATAATACTGCAAATAATAACTAATTTGTTATAATATTGTATTTAAAATGTGTTTTTTAGAGTTCATTTGTACGCCACGTTTACGATAAATTGACTTCAACTCCTTATATCATACAAAAACAAAAACTATACCAATTAAAGATTTATAATTATAATATACATGTACTATTTTGATAAATTATTATTTTGATAAACTTCTAACATTACATTGTAGTTTAAATACACACTTTAAATATAATTACATTTACATTCACCTTTGTGAAAAAATTCACATTTTTTTTATCGTACCTATGTTTGTCCATATTTTAAATTTTATTAAATTCTAATACTATTTATAGCACTTCCAACAATCCAGTAATATTACAATACTTCTGGAATTTGTAGTTATGTATTATAATATAATATTTATAAGAACACTACATAAAAATTCAGTTAAAGTAATATTATATTTTAAATATATGTATATATATATATATTTATTTATATGTTACGTATACATATTTTTAATATTTAAATATTTTGATATATTGCATTAAAATATATAATTATCGTTACACTAAATTATTATAAGAATTGAATATATTGAAATAATTTTTTTAAGTCATTAAGTAGTCCATTGATTTTCATATTGTATTTTATAATTTATCGAAATTTTAATATATACTGTGCTATATCCGCTTTTCGTTATTGCGTTTCGTAATTAATACGCATATTAATATTTTGAAAGTATTAGAGACGAATTATTACGAAAGAAAATAAAAGAAAAGTATACAGTAAAAAAGGCTTTCAAATCAGTAGATATATAACTTCTAGATTAGATTTTTTTAGTATTATATTCTATACATAAAAAAAGTAAATTTAAATGAGTAAAATAAAAGTTAAAATTATTTTGAAAATATATATCCATAATTATTTTTAATTGTAATATTTTTAAAAATATGTAAAAATGAACAATGTTAAGAATTATATCGCTATTGAAAAAAAAGAAACAAGTACAATTAAGGAATAATAAGATAATGCGTTTACAACAAGAAAACCATTATTAATAAAGTTTATTTTTTGGAGAATAAAGAGTATGAATAAATTTCTACTTTCAGAATTGATAAAAAAATGTGATTAATTGTATCTTTAGAATTATTTAAATAATTCTTTATATTATTTAATTTTTACATTTATAATATTTGTTAAATTTTTTAAAGTTTTATTGAGTGAATTATCAATATAAATTTTTTAATTTAATTAAAAAAAGAAGAATAGTAATGCAACAAGAGTATTTATTAGGAAAGGAATGATTTTATAAATCTAAATTTGTACATTTATATATTTAATTTTTATTTAATCAATTTATCAATGATATATAATTGTCATCCAATTCCTATAAAGGTTATTACAATAATTTCAATATAAGTACAAGAATAAAACGTTTAACGATAAAAATCTTATATTACTACTTAGAACACTTTACTAAATTAAGGATTAATGTTAGAGAAAAATAATTTTTCATAATTAAAATAAATACAATTTGTCTAAGCTATGGACACCTATGTCCATTTTTTTTTAGTTAATCTTAGGTGAAAATGAATGAAGTTTTAAAGTTAACAAATACTACATAATTGAGATAAAGAATAATTGATTATGAATACGATCATACCATTACATTAAAATTTTATTAATACAATTATTTTGATGAGTAAATTTCTATAGAAGGAGCATAAAATAATATAAAAAGCCTTTATAACTTATGTATTAATAATTAATTTATAGTCAGTATACTATAGAACATTTTGATATTGTTTCATTAATTATATGTTATTTTGATATACTTAAACTTTCAATTACATAATATTAAAAGAGTTTTAACAAAAATTGTATTTTTGTGTAATTAAGGTTAAATCAAAACTTTATTTGAAAATTGTTAAAAATTTAATAATATATTTGATGTTATATCCTTATAATGTTATAGTATTTTATAATAATTATTTTAAAAAAAATAATACTTTTTAATTTTTTAAATAATTAAAATTATTCTTATGCAGACATTACGCCTTCACAAATCTATTTTGGATCAAACTGCGGCTGGGCAAGTCATTAATTTGATGAGTAATGACGTAAGTCGATTTGATATGTTTTTCCAATTTATTAACTTCATGTGGATAACGCCAATTCAAGTAAGTTAATTAGTCAAATAATATAATTTCAATAATTGTATTTAAAGGGTAAAACCATTTTAAAGCATTTAATAGAAAATTTTAAGCAAAATTATTGTAAAAAAGATTCGGTAAATACAAATAATTTATTAAATTTTCGTATGTGCTTATAAGTGAAAGTATAGTAAATAATGTGAAGTAAGTATATATTTTATTTAAATGGAAAATATTGACTTATGCAAATAACGTTATGTATTTCCGATATAAAATTCTCTTTCCAACTAAAATATAGAAAAGTAAAACTCGATTTATATAAAAAGTATTTCTAATATTTCTTTTTACACAGAACTACTTGCATTTCATTATTAATTATTAAGATATTTTAAATACATTATCATCAAATTCCACTTGACCTATTAAAAAATGGATATTTAAAATGTTCTTAAAAATTGATCAATGACTATTATAATATTTATTAATAATTTCTTAATTTCCTATAGTTTAATTTACTTAACGTAATATAGACTTATGATTAAGGAAGTTATATACAAGACAATAATTATAATTGTACTTGCAAATGTACTTGAATTGACTTGTACTATCTGCAATACCTTTTGTCATTTTATATTATTTCCATGATTTATCATATGTTTCATTCCTTATTAAAAATAAATTAAATGATGGGCCTGTTATTATACAGATATTATACTAAATTATAAAGCAATTTATAAAAGATTTGTAAAAGATTTACAAAAACTAAAAACTATTTTTTATTATATATTTATATATACATTCATTTTTATTATATTTATATATTTATGCTTATAAATAAGTCGGTATTTTTTAAACATATTTATGGGTCTATTCTATGTTCAAACTTATATAAAATTATATAGATTTTTAATATTCATGTGCTTGATAAAACTAATTTAAAATAATCATATTTTAATAATGTTAATTACTAATTGTAATGAAACTTTACCATATATCCTATAAATACATCAAAATATAATCGTATAACAACAAAAATCTATTCAACATACAAATTTTTTCATTATATTCATAATGTCCATAATGTTAAAGCATTAATTTTTTATTTGAAATCTCATATCTTTAGTGAAATTTGAAAAATACAATTTATAATTATAAAAATTCACAGCATAACTCAGAAATTATTGATTAATATTCATTTAAGAAATTTGTTTAATAAGTTTGCAATCAAAATAATTAAATAATTAATAAGACACCTATTAGGTTATAAATAATATAAAGGCAACTGGATACTTATCTCAAATTTTGAATACCGTGGAAACTACTTTTAGGCAAACATGTCTTGACTAAAAATAATTAAACAAAATTTGTTCACTTTCAATACAACTTTTTATAACTGTTTGGCAATTATATGTGCAATTACTTATGCATTGAAATCGTAAAATGTTTATCTTAACAATTTGTCTAACTCATAAATATGACCAACTCTAAATTATGACTACATAAATATATTTTTTAAATCAATGACAAAGATACTAATACTCACTTTCGACTGAGTAATTTGAAATACTCGTTTTTTATTTATAATTGATTATCAACATCAAGATCATCAGATTGTTAATTGAATATTCATTATCAATGTTGAAGCTATAAATATTTATTAAATTATTTATAACTTATTTATTGACAATTGTATATATAAATAGGCCATCCTTTATTATAAACAAATAGGAACTTATATTAGATTCTGTTTTAAAATCGGTCTAAAATTAAAACATGATTTATTTATCTATGTAAGGCAAACCTCAATTTAAAAATAACTTCTAAATATTCTTAAATAAACAGTTTTAATCGACAATTGATTACTAAGTATAACTAGAATATAAAGATCTTTGTTATTAAAGTGTAACTATATTATTACATGAAAAGAACTGAAGTTTGATTGCCTTATACATAACAATATAAGTTAATATTTTAATTTTGGATTGAAAAAAGGAAAAAAATATATAATGAATAAAATTCTTTTAAACTATATTGCAAATAAACTCCAATCGTTTAAAAAAAAAAGGTTTCTATTATTTTCTTAAATTAAAGCATATCATAAATTCGCATATGTGTGCATATATTTTTTATTTTATACAGTATAATATATTTTATATTAGAATATATATATTTTCTTAATACTTTACTTATGATATTATTCAAATTTTATAAATAAAACAAGAAAGTTTATGTATTACATTCCTTTAAATAAAAAATATTTAAATTAAAGTATTATAATATTAGTATCAAGTAAAATAAAAAAAATGTATACATTTGAGCTGTAATTACACTCCTGCATTATGTAAAAAAATGCATTATGAAAACATATTTAATAAATAAACATAAATTAATGTTTAAAATTTTTTTAATGCATTTCCGCTTTTAATAAATAGGGACTTTGTAATTAATTAATTTTTTTTTTAAATATATTATTTTTGTAGAATGTAGCATTATATTGTAAATAATATTAATATTATTATAGAGATAATTAATCATATTTTTTATGTAGGTTTTATTGATTGTATATATTATGTGGGATAGTATTGGAATTATATTATTAGTAGGAATAATAATTTTATTACTGATAGCAATTCCATTGCAATCAATTGTTACTTACACAAGTAAAAGTTTACGATTGAAAATTGCTATTTTAACGGATAAAAGAGTTCAATTAATGAGTGAACTAATCTCTGGAATAAAGGTATTATATTAAGCTTCTACAGCTCCATAAAAAATATACTTGCATGTTTATATAAATTATGTAAATTATGTTTATATATATTAAAAAAAAAATTAAAAAATAAAATAAAAAATGTTAAAGTTCTTAATATATTTATAGTACATAATTTAAATATTTATAATATTTTAAGATAATCATATTGTAAATATCATATATTTAATTAATCATTTTACACCTAAACTAAGATTTTGTCATGAAGGTTATAAAAATGTATGCATGGGAAAAACCATTTAGCAAAATTGTTGACAATATTCGATTGGCTGAGATGAAAAAAATAACAATCACATCACATGTGCGAAGTCTATTCTTCAGCTCTATGATTTACACAGAACGAACAACACTCTTTGTTACTCTTATATTATACGTATTTGCGGGTAATCACCTGACTGCTGAAATTTCATTTGTTTTGGCCACCTACTTTAATATTCTACAATTGTCAATAATTTACATGATGCCAAATGGTCTTATTGCAGCTGGAGAAGTATCTGTATCCATAAAACGAATCGAGGTAACTTCCAAATTTATTAAACATAAAAATACAAAGAAACAAATAATCATATATTTTTTAAATTCAACTATTTATTAATTATTAATTTATTAATTATTTTAATAATTATTCAAATAAAAAATAAATATTTGAATAAATTTAAAAACATGTTTCCGTCAATAATAGTGTCGATAATGGAGTAATAATATATACAAAAATAATCTCATCAGTAGTTAAAATACTTTTATTAAATAATGTACGTGCAAAATGTTGCTCCGATTACAAAATTGAATTAGATTCGGAATTTTCTATAAGCTTAATATCATAACATTATTTATATTCATTTATTAATATTAAACTAATAGTAATGTATTAATTATTTTTTATTTATAAAATTTAATAATTTATCATAACATTTTAAAGTAATTATTTATTTAAAATTCATAGATTGTTAATGGTATATCTATAATAACCAAAAAATATATGTATTAATATAAATTAAAATTTTATTAAGATGTTTAATATTTTATGATAGACTTAAAATTATAATGGAGCGTTAAAGCAAATATATAAATTATAGAATTTAAATAAATTAAGCTCATGTAAATTAAAAAAAAAATATTTTCTTGTTATAGAAGTTAAGCAATATGAAATTATAATGTTAATATATTATTGTTCGTTTATTTCCTTAAAGTTATTTTAACGAAAGAAGGTTTTAATTATCTTAATATTATTGACTATAGTACAATACTATAATTATTCAAATCTAATAAAAATTAATGTTTAATTATTAACATATAAAACGTAATAAACAAAAATATTTTAACAACAAAATTGATAAATATGTCGTAGGAATTTCTACTCTTAGATGAAATTACAATATCCGAAGTTACGAAACTTTCAGAAAAAGTATTAGAAGATGATCTAAAGTTTACAGAAAACAAAAATATCGATACTGGCGATGAAAACTCTTGTACATTAATAGAGGTAACATTATATAAATGAATTTTTTTCACTATATAATCGAAAACTTTACTTTAATTATCTAAATTTGATTTAGTTTTCGAATTAGTAATATTAATATAAAGAAAAATGGAATTATTAATAATTATTGATTTGTCTACTTGAAATTATATTTTCAAGTGTTGTAACATTATTTTTATCCATTTAATTTTAATCTTTATATGCGAATTTAAAAATTTAATTTTATATAAAATAAAATAAATCACCATATTTTATTAAATATTTTCGAAAATTCTAAAAAAAAAAAAAAAAAAAAAAAAAAAAAAAAAAAAAAAATGTATTATTGCGTAATTACAAAATTATCTGATTTATTTAAATATTCCAAACAAATGTAGGTGAATTTTCATCGAGTATCGGCTAATTGGAAAAGCGGGCAATTGCCACCAACTCTTAATGATTTAACGTTCAAAATTAAAGCCGGAAGTCTTTGCGCTTTAGCTGGAAATGTTGGATCTGGAAAATCCGCTATTCTACAGCTTCTTCTAAAAGAGTTGCAAGTGGGTGCAGGATCTGTTATATTAAGACAACAATGTGACAAGAAGTTAGAAACATTTCAGCGGTCTGGTTTTCATACAGATATTGATAATCTACGGATTTCATATGCTAGTCAAGATGCATGGCTCTTTGCAAGTACAGTGAGAGAAAACATTCTTTTTGGCGAGCCTTTTGATTCTGCCAGATACAATAAAGTATGCATATATACATATATAATAACTGTATTGGAATAAAGTATAATATTTGTATATTAACTTCGGGTGTCATTTTCATATAATTAATAGTCCGTAAAAACAATTGATTTTTTTTTCTAGTAGAGAGCTAAGAAAAAAAAAAAGAATTAAACTGACATTTCTATTGAAAGAATTAGCCATTATAATTATTCATTATATTTATAAATTCATATAATTATACGTTAAATTATTCATAAAAGTCGCATACAATTCATACATAACCAAGGTATCCTATGTGTATATATAATCAATTGTTTCGATTTTTGCTAAATCAACATAGAGCGTGTCACAATGACGATTAATTACAGGTAGTAGAGGTGTGTGCACTCAAACAAGACTTCGAACATTTATCTAAAGGCGATTTATCGACTGTTGGCGAACGCGGCTCCTCTCTGTCCGGAGGACAGCAGGCTCGTATTAATTTAGCTCGAGCCATTTACAGACAGGCTGATGTATATCTTTTAGACGATCCTTTAAGTGCAGTGGATTCTAAGGTAGCATGCCATCTCTTTGAACGATGTATACGTGACTTCCTTCACGATAAAACGCGCATTCTTGTAACGCATCAACTACAATTCCTGCAGCACGTTGATAATATTATCTTCGTTGAACGCGTAAGTAGTCCTTAAAAAAACTATACAATGAGAAAAGGCTGTTAGAAAAATAAGAAATTTATTCGACATTTGAATATGAGCTAAATAATATTAAAGCTAATCTATGCCTTACTCAACTCTATTATTTTAATATAAATTCTTTGTAGTAAAGCAGGAGAGTCGTTATATGCTTTTGGTGATATGTTTTAATATTAGGTTATCGAAAAGATAATAATGTAATCAAATAATTTCAATAATAAGTACCATGTTAATTTTCAGTAAAAATGAAATTTAAATGAATTATTTCTTGTGATAATTTACTATTATTATAGGATAATAATAGATAGTATAGGGCAATAATACATAGAACTTTTTTTTTATTGCATAACATAATTTATTAAAATTAAAAAAAAAATTGTATTATTAAATACTTTCTTATAGTTTGTATATTGTACATTTTTTAAAAGTTTGTTACACATATTTTCAAATTTTTTTTCTCGTCAGGGATGCATCAAATACCAAGGATCGTATAAAAATATTACAAATATTAATCCAAAAATCATGGATATGTTGAGTAATATAAAAAATGACGAAGTTAATAAAAATATAAACTCAAAGAATATGATTGCATTGGCAGATACTCAACTGACAGACTCAATAAGTCATAAAAATGATCAATCTTCGATAAAATCATTTAACGTGAGTAAAATGATGGTATATTTTTATTAATTAAAATAATCATGATATAAAAAAAATACTTATTTAATTTATTATGACTTCAAACGAAAAATAAATCGATGAGTTCCAATGTTAATCATGCAATCGAGATTAGAATTTTATATTCAAGTTATTTAATGTTATTATAAAATAGGGGTAAAGTAATTTTATTAACATTGGTAATAATAATAATAATAATAATAATAAGAAGAAGAAGAAGAAGAAAAGAATAATAATAATGATAATAATGATAATAAAAAATATTAGTAATCTTAACTTTTTTTTTTTATTAAATGATACTTCTGTAAAAAAATGCTACAATAAAAGCATAGGAGAATATGTTGTATTTTTCATACATTTAAAAATATTAATATGTTTATTAATTCATTTATATTTACATAAATTTTTATATCGGTATAGAGTACAGAGGCTGAATCAACGGCCGCCAGTGTAAACAATGAAGAAATAAATCGAATTTACAGCAACGGGACACTTTTTAAAATATATCTACGAGCTGGTGCTTCATGGTATCTCTTGGGCTTGTACATAACCACATTGATTTTTACGCAAATTGCCACTAGTGGAACGGATTTCTGGCTTAGTTATTGGACTAATATGGAGGATATGCGATTTAATATAAATACGTCAAGTTCATCATTAAATATAACATATAATTTGAACTTTAATTTTGGTTGGTATAAATGCTCGTTCTAATGACGTAATTTTAATAATAATTTATTATTAGTTAATGTACAATCTTGTAATTATAACGATAAATTTTAATGATATTAATCCATTTATTAGATGCAAATTATTTGGAAGCATTTGCAAATTACGTACATTATTTATAAAAAAAAGTTTTCCTGATAATATTAATGAAATAGTTGGAAGTGATTAATTGAAAAAAAAAATTAATATTCTTTTTGTATTGACAAATCGTTATTTTAATTAGGCAGTTAGGCAAGTCTTATAATAATTTTGCATGATATTTCTTTTGACAGAAAATGTTTCAGAATTCAATATACCTACCGAAGAAATAAAATTGTTATCAACAGAAGAAGCAATATACATTTACGCTATTGTTTTGTGTATTTGTACGTTTCTATGTTTAACCAGGAGTTACCTCATTATCAGAATTTGTATGAAAGCAAGTAAACGGCTTCATAAGCTTATGTTTTCAAATATCTTACATTCTTCAATGAATTTTTTCAACAAAAACCCATCCGGTAAGATATAATTTATTATTTCGTAACAAAAACTTACAGCGAAATATTATTTCTCTTAATAAATATTCTTAAATACATCTATGTAAAAAATTTTTGTAGAGAAACAAGCTCGTTAGAAATTGTATATGTATATAGTATATAATATTTTATTACGTTTTTATTACTATGCTGAAGTTTTATCAAAATTTCAATTCATTTTATACTAAACTTTACATATATTAAAAATAGATATTTGAAAGTTAGCATTATGGGAAAATTACAAAAGTTTTGAATTTATTATCTTAACTGGAAAGAATATAGGAAAGATTGTTTGATTTAGAATAAAACAATAAATATAGATTTTTTAAGCATACAGTGAGTCTTTCTTATCTATTTATATAATCGCTTTAATAAATATTTAATTGAAAATCTAATAATCAAGATGATTGTATCATTGTTTAAACTTTTTTTTATTGCAATTACGTGAAAAAAGAATATATATATTTTATATTTATATTATAATGAATAGTAATTATATTATACATTTTAATGGATATTAGTTCCACAAGTTTATAACAAGTGCTAAGTTTTCTGCTGGTGTCAGTTGATTGCTCTTTCTACTATAATTATCTTATAGTCCACTATTTAGTATAAATTGCAACACTTCGTTTCATGATTAAAAGCTGATAAATCGCAATTTTTTTATATCTATATGAAAATACATGTTTTTACAAAATAATGTTTAAATAATCAATTATATTTTTCTCATTTATTATTTCTCTCTTTATTTGATCATTTATTTATTTATCCATTTATCAATATATACGTGTGTAGACTGTGGTCAATTTGTTTATTAAGCTATATTTTAGTTTCAAAATTGATATTAAATGTAATTTCAGCTACTCCATTAAAATTGCTGATATTTATAATATTTTTTATGAAGTTGAACATTTATTATATTTTTAAGTTTTTTTGCCAGACAAATTTTTTTCACATTTTTATTTCCTATAAATTACTTTTTAATTTCAAACCTCTTATTAAATTTCAATATTAGCATATAAACTTTATTCATCTGCTATTGAAATTTCAAGTTCCAATAAATAATATTAAAATTTTTTGAACTCGTAAAAGTAAAATATATTTATGCATTTATTTAAAAAATTGTATTTATTATATTACTTAAAAAAAAATTAAAGATTTACAAACTAAATGCTTGTATTATTTAATGAAATTTAAATTACATAGGATGCATATAATTTAATATTTATGTGCCAATGGATTAATTAAAGTTAATGAAATGTAATTGATTTAAGCTTTATTTCAAATTACAAAATATATAAATAGATTAAATATTTTATCTCATTGGGTTAATTATGAGTTTTTTAAATTATATTTATGTAATTAGGGCGAATTATGAACCGATTTTCAAAAGACACCGGAGCAATGGACGAATTACTTTCAAGAAATTATACAGAAGCGATTCAAATATTTTCTGTAATGATTGGAATTTTAGTTGTCATAGTAATTGTCAATTATTGGATGATTATAACTATTTTTATAGTATTACTACTATTTTGGTTTGCCAAGACGATCTATTTGAATACTGCTCAAAAAATTAAAAGATTAGAAACTGCTGGTAAGTATTAGCGAAAATTTTTAAGAGAATTTTTTTGTATTGTAATTTAAATATATCATAATTGCATTTAATTAGTTAAAAGTTCGATCTCAAGTTTATTTTAAACTTATTAAATATAATAAAATAAATAGTTATAAATTGTAGTAATACCAATTATAATTAATAAATTACACGTAAACTATTATAAAACTTAAAATTAACGGAAATAAACACAAAATTTACTATGTATTATTTCAAATTGTTTGTGTAATAATAACTATTGATCAATGTGAATTCTATATTAATATGCTAATATGAAAACCTATCAATCAATTGTTCAATTAATTTATTAACGTGAATTATTCATATATATAATATATATATAAATTCTATCTACTAAAACATATTATTCTGAATACAAAATTGAGCGATTAGGCGGTTACTTGGTAGAGAATTATAGTTTTTTTCATTTCATCCAATGCCAACATTTGCGATATTTTATCTTCAATTCAGAGATGTTTCATCGTTGATTTTTTTCATTGGTTGATTTATAGAGTTTATAGGCTCAAGGTCTTGTAGAAGGGAATGTACAGTTTAAAATATCAAATAGAAAATTTAAGTTCCTTAATAAACTCGAAGATAGCTGTCCCTAATTTCAAAATGATGACATATAATTCGATACGTTTCAAAATTAAATTCTTATTTATATTTTTTTCATAATCGAAATATAATTTTAATACACAATTCCCAATAATACTTTCTCGTGGAATAACTGTGACTATCATGATATTGATAAAAATTGTACAATTATAGTGTCACTTCTCTTATCAATTAAAATCACTGCAATGTACACATTTTGCTCCAGTATTGATATATTGGTGTAATATATTCTTATATGTCAAGAGTCACTTTACATAAGAGTGTAATTCACGTAATCCAGTATTTATGATCCTATTCAATATATTATATAATCACTATTTTCAGCATTGAATTAGTAAGCTCGATTGATCAACAACTTTTCCCATGATTTCTCAACATCGAGAACTAATGTTAAAATAGTACTTATACAATAATTGCGCAAATGTGATCGCTGTATCTCCTTTATATCTAGATGTATTAAAGAAAATGGAATTTTTTGAAAGCACAATTTTGTCAAAATAAATACGAATAAGCAATTTATTAGTAGAAGACGTTAAAAACTCAAAAATGCTGTACAGGACATTTCGCTCCATAATTATTATGTGAGCTTTAAAACAAGAAAACTAAAGTCACCACATGCAATGAAAAAATAAAAAAAAAGTACTTTTAAAAGTCATGCTCGAGTGGAGTTTATCAAATGGTGAACGATTTTTCATGAAAATACTTTGTTTGCCTTACTCATCTAACATCTCGTGTTGTAGTAAGAAAAGGGAGAGAGGTTGGAGATGACAAAAATTTATCAAAATACATCTAAGTGTCAGTAACATCTGTAAAATACATCTGTGTCAGTAACGGATCCACGTGTAATGTGAAAAGGTACACCAGGGCTGTAGTTGTAATCGGGGAAATAGAAACAGGGATAACTCAATACATCGAATACTCTGTTTTACTAAAATAATTGAGATTAATACAGTATACCTAATTGTACATTGTACTCGACAGTTAACCTGCATCAACTTAATGCTTACGAAATTGTACCAATGCACATCGATTGCATATTTATATATAAGAATCTTTAGGATTGCTCATGGATCGTGTGCTATTGTTAAGTCTGTTTGTTAAGTCAATCAGAGCATAAATTAATAACACAAATTTAGTACTAGACTATACGTACTCTTATCAGAATTTGTTCAACATGCGATTTTTTTGTTATGTTTTCATCGACTGCTATTACAATTGCTTATTGATTAATTTATCTTAATTTACGGATGAACTTATTAATATCACATTTAAAATGTAGAAAACCATGAATTTATGAATTGTTTGAATATATCCAATATAATATTTAATATCAATTTTATTAAAAATTATTTAACAATTGTTTGAATTTAATACATCTTTAAAGTATGTTAAAATATGTTATATATTAAAAAGTTTTTCTTATTTATTTATATAAAACTATTTGCTTAACATAAAATTTATGTATTAAATTTAAACTCGATTGTTGTTTTAAATTCATTATGAATATTAATTTATTGTTAATTTCTTATTACAATTCAAGCTAAAAGTCCCGTCTTTTCTCATGTAAATGCCTCTTTAAATGGATTAACAACGATAAGAAGTTGTGGTAAAAAAATTGAAAATAGGCTTGTAATGGAATTTGATCGTTATCAAGATGAACACTCTGGTACTTGGTACATGATTATTACTACAGCCGCTGCTTTTGGCATGATTCTCGATTTTATACTAATATTACTTAATGCTGTCATCGCTTATAGTTTCATTTACCTCAACAATGGTGAGCACATAACTAATGAATATTTTTAAACATATTTATAATTATAATAATCTTTCACAAGAATATTTAATGTTATAAGATATAATGACATTATTTAGCAAAATGAGTTTAAAGTCAAAATTTAAACCTAAATATAATTTCAAATTCATTTAATATAATCTGAATTTACAGAGTAGTTATAATAATTATTTTAAAAAACATTATAATATAATTATAAATTTTTTAATCATTGATTGTCTTTCTATACATAGGAAATATTCTTGGGGGAAACGTTGGATTAGCACTTTCACAGGCAGCAATTTTAACAGGTATGGTGCAATATGGTTTTCGACTTTATGTTGAAGTTATGTCGCAGTTGACTTCTGTTGAAAAAATTGTTCAGTATACAAATTTACCTAAAGAACATCCACTTATTTCTATCATTCCATTACCAAAAAATTGGCCTCAATGTGGTCGTATTTCAATGAAAAATGTATCTATGCGATACGAAAAGAATGAGCCTCTCGTTTTAAAGGTAATGTTTTTCGAATATTATAAATTGTCTAAAGTCAGGAAGATGAACGTAAAAATATATTAAAAAAAAAAAAAAAAAAAAAAATTAAATTAAAAACATTTTATAAACTATACAAAATACAGGGCAAAGCTTTTTTTTTTTTTTTTTTTTTTTATTATTTATAACAAAAGTATAAATATATTTTCCCCATATATAAAATGGAATTTTATTTTTATAAATTCTAAATAAAATTTTAATCATCTTATAACACAATGCGTTTACATTATCTGTTTCAATAATAATAAATTAATATAATTATTTAAAAATATACATATTCATGAAATAATTATTACTAAATTATTCTGGATCTATTAGATTACTTTAAAATTTAGTTTTTACGAATTTAAAATTTAATAAAAGCTTACAGAGAAAAATGAAGAAAACGTAAAGAAGTGATTAATTCATTTTTAAATATTTCATCAAAATGTTCTATTTTTTAATGATACATATCCATACATATACATACATATATATAAATTATTCTTTTTAAAAGAAATCTATTACTATGTATTAAATATTATTGAAAAAGGTAGTAAAAAGAAGAATAATAAAATGAACGATTGAAATAATCGATTGATAATAATAATAATAAAGTTATTTTTCTGAAATTTTAATATACATGTACTATTAAATGAAATTGAAAATACTTGATTAATAATTTAATCAATGAATTTAATTCATTTTTCTTTGGGAATAATTATATTTATGATTACTTTTACAATGATATTAGTTTCAATTTTTCACATAGTTATTTATCAACATATGTTGAAGAATAGCAAATTCCATTGGGCATAATATAAGACTAAAAATAAAATACATTTGCTATGTATGCAAATAGGGTTTTAAATACTCACATATAAATTGACAAATATCAATATCTATATTTAATTACCTATGCTTAAAATTTTTTTTTTATTATATCATTGGTAATGTTAAAATTAAAAAATATATATACCATTTAAATATTACCACTTTCGCTTTATATCCTATATTCAATAGTAGTTCATTCGAAAGTATATTCGAACCTTTCTTATATTTCTTTGTGATTAAAAACAATTACTAGGAACTTAATGTAGAAATTGAACCAGGCTGGAAAGTAGGCATAATTGGTCGAACAGGTGCTGGCAAGTCATCGATAATAGCAGCTTTATTCCGTCTAACAGGCGAGAATTTAAAAGGTGAAATTATAATAGACGGAATTGACACGAGTCAAATTGGTCTACAAGAATTACGAGCTCACATTTCAATAATTCCTCAGGTATAATAATATAATAAAAATATAACAATAAGATTAGAATATAAAATTTAGCCACTAAAATGTTTCGATAATATATAATATTTTATTTATTAATTTCAAATAAATATATTTCTTTATGCATGTGAATGGACTTATTATTAAAAAATTTTTAAGATAGCCGTCATTTTATTATCTTTTTTTTTTTATGCGAGAATCAATATTCATTAACATATAATTTATTATACATTTTATATACATTATATATATATATATATATATATATATATATTGTTTTTTAATGGCTAACGTTTATTGTTTGTTATTTAAATTTTCATACATAAATTATAAAATAACTGTTCTTATTCTAAAAATAAGATTCTAAAACATAGATTCAAAATAGTTTTTCACTAGTTATCTTTCTGAAAGTTTTAATTTATATATAATTTAATTTAGCGTATTAGAATTTAATAAGATTTCAATAATTATTGATTCTTCCAAAATCAGAATTAGAAGCAAATAATGATATAAAATCTCTTTTATTGACAATAAGATAATATTTGGAGATTAGCTACTTGATGAATAGTTAACAACTTTTTAGGAACCAGTTCTTTTTTCACAAAGTCTCCGTTATAATCTCGATCCGATGGAGCAACATGAGGACTCAGTACTATGGGAGGCACTTTGTGAAGTCGAACTCAACGATCTATCACTAGATCAACAGATTGCAGAGAAAGGTAGTAATTTAAGTGTGGGTCAGAGACAATTGATTTGTCTTGCTAGAGCAATTATACGACAGAATCTGATTCTAGTGCTTGATGAAGCCACTGCCAACATCGATGCACAGTAAGTAAAGAAAATAACTCGGCAGTTTACATTAAATCATATAATAATATATGATATAATAGTATAATAATATAATAATATAATAGCACTTTTAACATAAGTTAATTTTCGATTGGAAAAACATTTTCTTTGAATCAAGAATATTTGTAATAAAGTCATATTTTAATTTATTTATAGATGTAAACAGACAAATATTATTTGAATTAGTGTCTATACATATTGTTTTACAAATAATTTTACCTTGAAAGTTTTTAACTGATAAATGTATGTGCTATTACTTTTAAAAGTTACACTTGTTACACGTTTGAAATTTAATATTAAATTAAAATTTTTAAACCTAATAATGATTACATCGATAAATGATATATATATATATATAATAAAACTATAATAAATAATAATTAAAATGTAAAAGACTATAAAAAAACTTATCGAAGAATAATTAACCTAAGTAACAAGTCAAAATAAATAAAAATTGTTACTTTATTTTCATATAAAATATTTTAGTTTATAATAAAATAAATAAACAAATTAATGAAGTGCACTGTACATAAAACATTCATTCATGAAAATTATGATATATTATTTACATATTTAAATGAACTCTATAATGATTAAAATTATGTATTTAACTTTATGATTCATTCGATATCAAATCATAAGTGTAATGTATGTTCTTCGTGTAATCACGATCTTACCAATTGTAAATATTTCGATGAGAATAATTTTGTTTCTAAGTGTATCATTTATAATTTTCACAAATTAAATTTTTTTTATATTTTTTACTATTATATAGCAGATTTTTATTAAATATAACTGGTAGTTGTTTAGATACTATATAAAATTCCATATTGAATTGAAATTGAAAATAATTGAAAAAAAATCAGTAGCCTACACCTCTACTATACATGCCTCAAATAAGTATACTATCTCTGCATTTCCTGATATACGACTATTTAATCAGAGTTACAAAAATACTATTGCATAAATATATAGTAATTTATTACTATTAATATTTTTATATTGTCATCAAGTATTATTAAACATTTAAATTATGATTATCCGAATTAAGTACTCTTATGTAAAGAATTTAATCATATATTAATGAAACACATTAAAAATATACCAATTAAATTAATAAAAAAATTAAAAATTAAATATTACTTAATATTTTTTATGGGTAATAGTATGTAGAAACAAATGTGCAAAACATCTATAATCATCTATAATCATTGATAATTTCTTTCCTAATTGGTTTTAAAATATTTTTATATTTATTTATAATCAAACCACAAATAGAACATATTTTTATTAAGACGAACATTTAATTTATGAAAGATAAAAGTACTGCTATACAATAATAATTAAATAATTAAATAATTAAATTTTTAATTTATATATTTATAAATTTTATTTACAGTACAGATAGCATAATACAAAATACAATCAGAAAAAAATTTACTGGATGTACAGTATTAACAGTAGCACATCGGCTGAATACCATTATTGATAGTGATCGAGTCATTGTTATGGATAATGGTTCTGTAGTTGTATGTATAAATTTTAACTAATTTGATCAATTATTATAAATAATTAAAAATTAATAAAAACTGTAATGTAGTTTGACAATTTTAAAGTCTATTGCTTCACATTTATTTTATTGATTCTCTATTTAAAAAATTAGACATTCCAATATTATTATTACAATAAAAATTAAAATAATTTTTTTTAACATTACAATTTATTGAATAATACCAATAAAAAGTTATTTCTATTTTTAGTTTGTAATTTATTTATTTTCAATTTTTAATTAAAAAATCTTGATTTTCAATAATTGATTTGAAATATCAAATATATTATTATACTATAATTAAAAGTAAATTCTAATAATACAACTATCTTTAAGAGCCTTATATAATAAGTAATATTTAGAAATTTTTTTATATTAAGAATGATTTATATAAAGAAAGAAACTTCCTTATATTAACTACTTAAACTAAATATACATTTTCGTATTTATATTTGTATGCTTATTTAATTTATAATTCACGAAAATAATCTAAACCGTATTTTTTTTTTTCAACTAAGTTATTTTAAAATATTTAAAACATTAAAGTATTATTTTTAAAAATATTTTTAAAATTATAATTTATGTATAACTATAAATTATGTATGTTTACTAATTATTTTAATTCTGAAATTAGGAATTTGGTTGTCCGTATGAGCTCTTAACCAATAATATGAACAGTTATTTCTTCCAAATGGTCAATCAGACTGGGAAGATACTGTCCAAAAAATTAGAAACACTTGCTAAAGAAGCTTATTTACAAAACATACAACAGAATTCTCATATTTCTGAAGGTAGAGTGAACAATGTTCAAGAGGCAATACAATCAGAAGAAAACTACGATATTCGATTATAAAAATATAAAGTTCATGTTGCTTATATAAGCACATATTTGTATTAATTAAAAAAGAAATTATGTTTGAATAATAATTTAAATATATATATATATATAAAGGCTATGTATAATACAAGTATATAATTTTAAGTGTAAAATTCTTATATTCAGTTATTATATAAATTGTGATTACCATTTACATTGAAAGTATGTTGTACAATAACAGAATAATTTACTGTACAAAAATTATTTTTTGGTATCATTCTTCCAATGGATTTGAAAATTGTTCAACATTGCTCTGGGTTACAAACACTTGAGGTTTGGATGATAAACTTGACTATAAAAAACAAAAAAATATTGTGATAAATTATTATAATAAAATTTTAATTAATTACATTGCATAATTAAATTAAATTATAAATTTGTAGAAATAAATTGTCATTAATTTTTTATAGTATAAAACAAATTTTATAAAATTATACAAGTTGTTCATTTGTATAAAGCTAGAAAAATTAATGTAGATAAATAATAAAAATAAAATATCAACTTGAAAAGTGTGTTACCATATTAATTTAACATATTTTGTATTTAATAGTATATAATTTCTTGAATTTTATTTTTAAAAGATGTGCTCAAAATTACTTATGAATTTTACAAAATGAAAACAAAAACTTAATCTTGTAACTATTTATTTTATAAAGTACTTGCATAAGATAATAAATTACTAAAGTATTTTTCATTAAATGTTTTTACTTGGTAAATATAATACATTTGCAAAAGTATACATGCAATTTTCTTATAGAATAATTTATAACGTAACATACATTTTGAGTATTGTATAAACTGTATTTACCAAGCAAGTATTCATTACAGTACTATATTTCATTTATACTTTAATATATATAAATTAATTTTATAAAAAAATTATTGCATACTTGTGTAACAGTTGATTGTGCATGATTAGCATTTGGCATGCAGACAACAACGAGTTTTGTTGCTTGAGTTGGTTTCTGTTGCACTTGTTGTTGGGTCGTAGGAGTTTGTGATCTTGACTGCAGTATCACAAATTTTTGTCCACCGCTGGTCGCTGTACCTGCCGTACCTCTGCTCGCTCCCAATACAACTGTAAAATATTCAAACAATTTATTGAGAATTTATAATTGTTCTTGTATTGTTTTAGAATAAATGTAATTTCGTATGATTCCTTATATACAAATATTACAAAAATATATATTTAAAGTATGTGACATCTAAAAAATTAATTTTATTAATTAAATAACTTATAAGGAGAAGTTAGGTTTTCATTATAAAATAAATTTTTTTTAACAATTAAAGGAATGTTATACCTGCTTGCGATATAGTCTTATTAGTGTTGACTGAAGTCTGTTGTTGACTCGTATTATTAGTAATAGATATGGTGGTAGTTGGAGCTATCGTCGTCGGTTGAGTGCGAGCTTTTGCAACTGCTGTACACAATGGAGGACCTATATAACCATATTCTTGTTTGTATTCTTCTATATAATCTGGAGGTGATCTAAGAGTTTTTAAGACTGGCGCAACAGATTTCTGAAATTAAAACAAACGTAAAATTTAATTTTATTTAGTTATTTTATATATCGATATAATCGAATTGATTAATAATATAAATAAAATTGAGAAATTACTAACTATTAATAAGGTTTTTATATGCCCGGCAGCATTTTTATCTACATTAGAAGAATTTGAACCCTCAAAGCATGTCTCAATACGTTCTGAAATCGATTTAATTTTAGGTATAACCAATGCTTTTATTACTTCTGACCCTAGTTCACAAAGGCCATGAATTGCACCATATAAAGAAGCTAGTGGAGTCTAAAAATAAATACAAAAACATTTATATTAAAATAATTACTTAATGCCTATACATTTTTTAATGTAAATACTTGATTGTTTTTGGCTAATGCTTGACTAAAGATTCTTGTAACTCGAGTTTGAATATTATTTGTAGATGTATTGAAATTTTTACAAATTTGTGCCATAAGACGTGACGCAAAATCTCGCAATGCCCAATGATTATCCATCTCAGGTCGGGTACATAATTGCTTCGATACAATACAAGTTACAACTGATGGTATGAGTTCATGAAGCTAAAATATAATTTACAATATAAAAATATCATTTTTCATTTTAGATTTAAAATTAAAATTTATAATTTAATAGTTAATTTCAAAACTATTTAAAAATTTGCAATAATTAAGAGTGAAAATAAGTTCATAATTAATGTTTAATCAAAAAAAATAATTGAATAAAAATATTTATTACATGAAATTACAAATATTGATAATAGAATTAGATTTTATACTGTTTTCTACTAGTTTTGTTCAATTTAGGAATACTAAATACGTAACTTACATATTTTTCTAAGTAAAGACTTGGGTTGTCTAGTAAAGCCTTAACCATTCTCATTAGATAAATAAGAATTGCAAGATTATTTTGAACAACGTTGATCCTGACACCCTCAGCTATAAATGTACACATACGAGCTAGCATTTCATGAAGACCTGGATCAGCTGAAAGTGACTGAAAAGCTTCCACTCTACGTGCTTCATCAGATCCTACACACGCTTCTGTGATCTCCTTATAATATAATTGTTGTTCAACGCTTAATTCATGAGTTGCTAATTGCTTCACATGTACAGTTTCAACATTACGAAGTTTGTGACTTTTACCACCTGGTTTTCCAATATTTGCATTACTATTTCTATTACTTATTGGATCTACACTTTCCAATTTTTGAACCTCTGCGAAATAATTATTTCAATGTCAGAAAAAGATATTTAAGAATTTAGAAATATGAGATTTAATAATATATAAGTTTAAAATAAGTTTATTTTTAATGTTTAGTTAAATCTAATAATCCATAACTAAATGTAACTAAATTAAAAATTACATGATTACCTTTGGAAACTGGTGGTGGATTTTCTGGAATAGTTGGCTGAATACCATCAATACATAACCAATGAGCACGTAAATTGGTTTCTAAAGGTAGTTTTGGCCAATTTGGACCACCAGCCATTGAAATAATTTCATTTAAATCAATTTCTTTCTCTTCTATGAAATGTAATTCTCTACCACCACCAGATGCAAAACGAAATGGAATGTGATCTTTGGCAAAAAAACCATATGTAGGTTCGATATTTTTAGTTTTTAAGGCATGGTCAATATCGTGTGTGCTAAGTTTTTGTCGTCTGCCTTGTCTCATAAATTTTGTTGCATCCTATAATTGTAAAGTAGTTGATCAAAATAAAAGAAAGTAATTAAAAATTTTGATTAAAAATTTGTTTATTTTATTTATATTATATTACTTGGATTATTTCCTTTAATCGATAACTAACGTCCTCGGCTAAATCTTTTGCAGCTTCATCAGGCAAATTTCCTACACCAATACTCTCAGCAATAACTTTCATTGATTCTGTAGACAATGTTGTCCCATACATAGGTTCCATATCACTCATCTTTGCTTATAGTTACAAGAATCTGATCGTGAAATATGTAATACCTTCTTCAATAAGTACATACTTATATCTATGCAAAAAACATGTTTTTCATAAATTATTTTGGACAATTTTACAAATTTAAAATATAAATTTATAAAATTTGTTTGTGCATAGAATTTAAAATGATCAAAAAAATAACCTAAAACTTATTTGAACTCGTTACCTAACCTTCTACTTAAATTTTATTTATTTTGTTTCCAATTATAATTAAAAATAAAAATGTTTAAATATGTATTATTATAACTTACATAAAAAATAAAATGTATATAAATTTGTATTGAAATTTATCAAGTATTTATGTAAAAAGTCATTTTTCTACAATCATAATTACTCTACGAAATGAAAAGGATAAACAAGCTGAGTTAAACCGCGTAAAATTACCATGGACAAAAGAAATGATTACCTTATTAGTAAGACTAACACCACTTAAAAATTACTTTGTTGCAAATATAATCATGCTTTTTAATATCATGATTATTATCATAATTCATGTGTGAATTAAGTATTAACAATAATAATTAACAAATTATTAAATTAAATGGTTAATTATATGCAAAATAAAATAAGAAATTTTAAAGTATTTATAACTAATCTAATAAAAATTTACGTATTGTAAACATATTTGTTTAAATACAATTTTTATTTTTTCCGAATTTCTTTAGTATTTTCTAAAAATGTATAAATGTACAACATTTTTTTATGATTTTCCATAATAATTTTTTTTCTCTTTATAAATATTAATTTGAATTATCATATTTTATTGATATTAATTATAAAATTCAAAGAACTGACATTGCAATTGTATTTAATCTTGAATTTAATTCTAATAATCTAAGTTTTTTGCAATAACGGTAAACAAAAATTAAGTATAATAATTAGATGCTCACATTCATAAATATCAGCTGTTTTATGAATAATTATTTTTAAAAATCCTTTTAATTTCTGCTCATGCAACTATATTTTTTTTTAATAAATGAATGAATAATAATTTTACCATTCCTATCCACTAAATTTAAACAGCTTCATAAAGCAATATATTATTCATTTTATAATTAATAAGAGCTCCTTTATTAAAAAGTAATTAATCTAAATTTATAACTAAATAAAATAACCTATTTCTATTTTTGTTTTATAAATGAATAATAAAAATACTATTCAATTGATTCACATTGAAATAATGTGAGTTTAAAAATTTTTTTTTTTTTTTTATTGTTATTCAATTTTCTAATTAAATAATAAAATAAAATTAGTCATTTTATTAGGTTATAATTAAATATTTGTATTTTAAACTTAAAAAGTTAGTGATATTTATAATTTTATACATTAAATTAATAATAATGTATAATACTTATCAAAGCAATATTAAAGCAATTTCAAAATTAATTAAATTGAATTGAACAGTGTAATACAATTCATATGAAATCTTTCCAATTCTTAGCAAATTAAAAATTTGTTGCATTGTAGGATTTAATTATTTGTAAAGTTCTATTGATTATATTAAAGTATCATATTAATTTAAAATAAAAGGAAAATTCATTGTAAAATATAATGATATTTTCAGACAAAGAGCAAGACATAATTTTCTCTGAAGATCTACACTTATTTGTTTTGGAGGATACGCATATGTAAATATCAAATTTTAGAGACTTTCAATGACCACTAATATACAGAAACATTACATTTGATAAGATAATAATAATTCAATTATATTGTAATAATGTGTAATATTATAATAATTATAATACATGTTTATATATATATATATATTTTTTTTTATAGACAAAAATGATAATACATAAAATAATAATGCATAAAAAGGTTTTCTTATGTTATGAATAAATAACTTTTGTTGTTGTATTTAAATCTTTCTTAAAATTATATAATTGAATATTATTATATTATTGAACCGTACATATAAAATAAAGTATAAGAATATACTATTTTGGAAATATAAGTTTTCTATTTTTATTATTCCTATGTGATTGCATATTTATACATTATTTCATTAAATAATTAATTTTAACTATTCTTTTTTAAATTTTGCGGATACAATGAAACAGTGCACTTTAGGAATTATAGATAGTGTAACCTATTTATGAACATTTATAAATTTTTAAAATATAAATAAAACTTATATTATGGGCACTTGTTTTAATATTGTTCAGATTCCATATTGAAATTGGGCTCGCTTGAAATATCCAATAGATTTATATATCAATTGCGCATGCCTGAAAGTGCACTATCTGCAGTTCCCTGACCATTAGACTTATTATTCAGTGACCATATGACAGTTGCATAATAAATTTGTAAAATAAGCAAAGTTAAAATAAAATTTTTTTCTCTGTAAACATGATTTTCAACATTATATTTTAATTATGAAGCGATAACTTTACAACAATAAGGTGTACATATAAAATATATATACCTTGCGCACGCGTACACATATTGCTATACAAAATTGTGTATGGGAACGCGGCATGCTGACTTATTGCTGATGAGAGGTGTTCGCGCCGGTCCAAAATATAGATCTACCAGCTCACTGGAAAAGTACGAGTTCTTTCTTTAAAAAAAAATTTATAATTAGAAATAAATAATCTAAATCGTTTACATTTAACTATTTCTTTAGGATACTTTTGTAATTTTTAACTACGAGAGAAGGAAATGTCTTTCCTTGGATCTAATTTATAGTACCATTATTGTTTAAAATAAATTTCTCTCATCCGAGGTATAAAATATAAATATATAATTTTAGTGTGCGTATTTGTTGCGTTCTCCTCATGTTACGGGGTCATTCATACATTTTTCTTTTCTGAAAATTCAAATGTATTATGTTTTATTAAAATTATATAGCTGTCTATGGCTATTTACTAGGCAATAGCTATGAAGAAAAATTATAATTTATTTATGCTATTTTAATATGTATTTAACTCCTTATAGGTATTTATATATAAAAATCAACTTAAAGCTATCATTAAATATCAAAGTTACAAAATTACTTTGATATATTCACAAAAAACTTAATTATTTAATACCAATCATGAGTGATGAAGAATTACCTTCTGGTTGGGAAAAGCGTTTAAGCCGCTCAACGGGTATGTATTTGAATATAAGATCAGTTTAATAATTTTATACAATTGTAATGTTTTCTTTAGGTCAACACTATTACTTAAATGTTTATACTAAGGAAAGCCAGTGGGATAGACCAGATAAACCAGCTGATCCAACATCAACTGGTAATGGTAAAGATGAAGGACCAGGACCAGATGAAGTACAATGTTCTCACATACTTGTTAAACATTCTGGTTCTCGTCGTCCGTCATCTTGGCGTGAACAAAATGTTACCAGATCTAAAGTAGAAGCTTTAGAATTAATTAAATGTAAGATTATTTTTATTAATACCTATATTATAAAAATGTTAATTAATTAAAATTAACTTTTATATAGTTCTCTAAATAATTCATAACCTAAGCGAAGTCAAAATTTTTTGTTTGATATTTAAATAAATAAATTACTTTATATTTTTAATATCTTTTTAATTTATAATATAGCAATAATGATGATTTCTGTTTCATTAAATAATTATCGATATTTTTCTACTCTTAATCAGCTTACAGAGAACAAATTGTTTCTGGAGAAGCAACATTTGGATCTCTAGCCTCAAAATACAGTGATTGCAGCTCGGCTAAACGTAATGGTGATTTAGGTTCATTTAATCGTGGTACAATGCAAAAACCATTTGAAGAAGCTGCCTTTGCCCTTAAATTAGGGGAAATTTCTCAACCTATTGATACTGATAGTGGAGTTCATATTATACATCGGATTGCTTGAATATCAAATTGATTACCTAGTTGATAATAATCATTTCAAAATGAATGAATTGTGTAAGAGTAAATTAAATATCATCTGCATGTGAGTAACAATTTATAAGAATATGAACTATGTTCATTCAGCTCCATTAATTATTGTCATTCCATTAATTCTTTTAAAAAAATAGTTAATATTAAAGTTACAACATACCAGTAATAATAATAATTTCACTACTTCCAATTAAAAATAGTAGATAATCACATTTTTTATAATTTATAACACGTTTATTATTTATAAGCTTCAATTTTGTTTAATAAGATAAACCATGTATATTAATCATTTAATTATCAAAGTCAAATATTAGAATTTTGTACAAATCAATATTAATGAATGGATTTTAATATTAAAATTGATTGCTTGATTCATAATAATTAACCAACACTAGACCAATTTTCTTTTTCCATTATGAATAAATTGAACATTCTTTTTAAGTAAAAACTAGTAATGATTCTATTAGTACAGAATCGTTTCTTTTTTATTAATGAACTTCAGTTTTATTTAATGAATGGGACAGCAGATATCAATAAAATCTTTTTTTTTCATTTTTATTCCATAAATTAAAATATTTAAACATTTAAGTAGAATTAATAAGAAAATTTTTTAATGTTTTAGTTTTAGAATAGTACAATGCTTTTCACAAAAAGGATTTCGTAATATAATCACTTAATAAAACTAAAAAATGAAAATAAAAAATATAATTTTTAAAAATAATTACTTTTTTAGTTATTTTTAATCAATTTTACATGAATAATAATAGAGCTATTGAAAACTGTACTTTATAATTTTAATTTAAAAACTTCTTTTTAATTTAAACATTTTTTAAGTGAAATTTTGCAAAAATATTTGTTGTCTTATGAAATTCATGAAATGTATTAAAGATATGTAATCATAGCCTATTTTCCTTTATTATTTTTTGTCTTTATATGTTTATTTTCATTTAACAAAAATTAAACGTGACAATCATTTATACTTGCTTAACTTATACTAATAAATATAATTCAATTAATAATAATAATTAATAATAATCTTTTGTTACTCTAATATTAATTTATATTCTACTTATAATAATTACCTTCTAGTTGAATATTGAAAATATTAAGTATTTTTATTTGAAGTTGTTAAATAAAATATTGAAAGAACATTGAAACAACATCCAGATTTTAGATTCTACATTTATTATGGATACATTTTGTGAATAAGTCTAATGGCAATTATTAAATATCTTTAATGCAAATTCAAATTTTGAAACTTTAAATGCAAAAGTTTAAATTATCTAAAAATAAATATAACATATGTGAAATAACACACATTAAGTTCAATTTTTTATGGTTTCATTATTATGTATATAAATGATTATTTGATTTTTAACAATTGCATGTAAATGTAGTTGCTTATCTCTTAAAACTTTATTAAATCATAGACACTTAATCCTTCAAAAGCATGCAAATATGAGTGCATGACTGTTGTCTGCTCAGACATAAAGTTTTGGATAAATCGGAAAAGAATCTGCAGATATATCCAATAAAAAAATATTTATAAAAAAATGAAACTTGATATAAGACGTTGACTCACAGCTTTATGTGATTTATGTGTTTGTTGGTACTAGCTTGGTACAGATGTATTCCATCAAAATTTAATCACTTTCAGACTTTCTTCGATGCATATTAATATCTGATAAGAAATTATGTATGCTGACTTGAGTAGTTTGAAAGTATTTAATTATTTTTTAAATCAATTATCTCATTGATATATTATGGACTGTTCAAATGGACATATTTATCATGAAAACAATTAAACTTGTTGGATCTGTTTTTTGAAAATATCTCTTTAAAGAGGCCATACAATATCTCCATGGAAAAAACTTTCCAGCTTTCAATTGTAATAATGGATAGTTAAATAAACCAAGAATTTCTTAATGCGAGAAATAAGATTTTTTTTATTATTTTAACAAATCAATCGATCTTTGGTTCATGTATCAAAGTAAGTTTATGATTTCGATGAAATTACTTAATAAATTAATAATATCAGTGAATATTTGAGTATTCTTTAAATTGATGAACAGTACAATTACAGTTGAGTTCTTTTATATTTAATTTTGACAAGTAGTATTTTAATCGCTAACAATCCAATGTGTAATTGAGATTGCAACTGATTTCTAGCTGTATTCTATCTTCTAATATTGTTTAGAGGGAACTGTTTAATTTAATTTAATTGTAAACTGAAACATTAAAATTAATGTAACAATCATTGGGCATTTATACTGATAAACTTTGATTTACAGGCATCCTGAGAATTAAGTCTTCTGATAGACATCTTTCTTGATTATAAATTTGATGGATTTTTGTATTAACTAGATTATACTAGATCTAGCATTTGAGTATAAGTTTTTATGAAATGTTGGAAATATATTTTCTGAATTCCTCAAGAATTTAGTGCCATGTATTATTACTTTAATGTCAAGTTATGTAGATTAAGTAATGATCTTATAGGTATAAAAGATGTACGTTTAGGTATTGATGTTATCATACAATTGAAGCATTTAACTTTTTTATCACAAAAAAACTTTAAAATAAATCATTTGTCATATTAAACTTGCCTTCCATGTTTTTTTAACATTATGAAATATTGTATAACATATATTTATAATATATTTTCACAGTGAATCTCGAAAACCCTCTGAAAATAGTTTCTTAATTCTATTATATTAAGAATATTGTAGATGTAATAAATTTGTATAACTTTCTAAAAAAGAAGCAGATTAGTTTCATTCTATTATAATTAAAAATAGTAAGGTATTATCTCATAAAAAGTTAATAGATCAAAAAATGTCAATGAAATATTAAAAGGTTTTTAAAGAATTCTGTGGACTTATTGGCATATGCAAGAGTTTAAATTATTCTAAGGAAATAGAAATTTTGGTCTTACAAATATTATTCTATACCATTGGTATTTCTGTGTAAAAAGTATGTCTAAAAATTGATAAAAAAACTTTTTTTTTTAAGAAAAGATGAATCTTTAAAGATGAATATTTCCTTTGATGAATCGTGTGCGTGTGTATGTGCATTCGCGCGCGGGCATATGCATTTATGGAATGCCAAATGACAATTTTTTATTTGGCGGTTTCTCTTATAAAAATAACCACAGCTTATACGTTGAAATCATTTTGTTAATGTTATTTCATTTTGTTACACATTTTTTTAATTTCTATTGATTACCATTGTCTTATTGTCGTTTTCAAGCATTCGTTTGGCAGATGAAGAAAAATTTAAGTATGAAATGAACAAGCAACAACAAATCAATAGTTACATCAATATCTGAAAGCACGCGCTGATAATTTTACATAAGTTAAAATTAACACACGGCACAATAAATGCTGAATTTGACTTTCAATTTAATATTTCACTTAATTTTTATAAAGTGTTTATCGACATAATTGCAGTCGATTTTTGATAATGGCATATAAAATTAGATATGTATCAAAAGCGTACAAATGTGAACATATGTTTGTAGATTTTATAATAAATTTTTAAAAAATCAGCCCACATTAATTTTATAATAAAGCGCGGGACGAGGTATTGCTTGCGCCGGTGCTGCCGTTTGGTTTTATTAAACTGTGTGTGATTTTCTGCAACGCGCAAATGTGGCTCGAGTGCTACAAATTTAATGTCTAAGGTAAGTCTTCCATTTACTTTGAATATGTAAACATAATTTATTTCTAACTTACATGGTAATGTAATTATTTATTTATTGATGTATGTGCTAAATAAATAGGACCGTGACTATTTCGGTATATTGTATATAAAACAATCCAATGAATAGTTATTTCTTTTAACTGTACAGAGACTAGATCAATCTCAATTAATTTTGCAATAGATTTATCTATTCAACAATTTTCATTTATAGGCAACTTCTAGTAAATCATCTACAAATTTTTAGTTTTATATAATAAATGGGGGATGTGAAATTGTAATACGAATATAGTAGTGCAGTGGAAAGTCAAATTTATACATTAACATTAAAATTATGGTTTAAAATGAATTTTGATAAAAGATAGGATTTTTTTCTACAAATTGGTATTATCAACAAATTAATTATCACTATAATTTAAATTAGACTAAATTAAAATAGGAAGGATTTTGTAATATTTTTAGAATTTTTAGAATTAAAAATTTTTTTAATTATGTTGATGACTACAACAAAATATGTATCAGGTATTTTATAATAATATTAAAACAATAAGAGTGCCATGATAATATTTAAATATATTTGAAAACTAGGCTCCAAAATCTTAAATGAAGTTTAAAACATATAGACAAAATAAATAAATAAATAAAGTTTGTAAAAAAAAATCAAGAAGCTGAATATTATGATCTAATAATAAGTAAAAATCATGAATGACTTATAAGATATGATTTATCATAAGATTTCGGCCAATAAAAAGTTGTATTACAAAAAATATTAATTCATTTATGGTATACATATAAGGATAGTTGCCAATATCTTTTAATAGTCAAGTGTGCTCATCAATAGTTTTCTTCTATAAAATGTAAGACTTGGTCTCTAATGTTGTAAGTAAAAATACTTGTTGAATGTACTATAGACATTGTTTTCATCAAAATGTTTTTAAAAAATGGTCATTTTAGTTATTTACTTAAGATATTAAAATAAATACTGAAATTATGAGTATTATAAAAATAAATTAAATTATATTTTAAAATTAAGTATATCAATAGATTGTATTTTTACTCTTAACCCAATTATTATATCATGAAATTCATTTTCTTTTTCTGAGTATTTATTTATTATTTTGATTATATCTTTAGTCTTTTTCTAATAAAAAATTATTTTCCTAAATATTTTATATTTTCTTTTATGATGTATTTAAATTTTTGAAACTGAAAATGGATTTTTTTGTTTCTTTCCATGCTTATCCACTTATTAAAATTATGACAAATCCTAATATTATTTTTACTTATATTCCCTTTTTATTTAATATATTATTTTATAGATTTCCAGTAATTTTATGAAGTTAAATAATAAATACTGAAAATAGTATGATGAATTAAATATAATAAAATAATTTGTCCAGTATTACTTTGTAGTATTCTATCTTATTAGTTTTGTATATATATTTGCTAAAAAGAAAATATAAACGTAAATGTGAAAACTTACATTAAAAAAATATAATTATAATACTAATATAGCAAAGAATCTTTCATTAAACAAATTATTTTTAACAAATATTTAAAAAGTATTCTTTGAATTTGTATATTATATTACTATTCTCCCATTAACTGTTTTATTTTCATAGTAAAAATGACATTGTATGTAGATATAAAAAATCAAATTTTACATTGTAATCAAATGTACAAAATATGTAAATTTCCAATAACACTTATTGTTAATTAATTATTTTAATGTATTAATTTGTTTCATTCAAGAATTAATAATATAGTCACCTACATTTGCAAAGTATTTACAAAAAAATGGATATTTTAATTTATAGATTATAATACATAATTTAAGAATTAAAGAATTTTTTAATATAAAATACAAAGCAATTTGTAAAAATTTAATGAATACTTTACATTTTCTTCAGACTTAAATTATTTATTGTAAGATATCAATAATTATTAGAAAAATACTAAGTCTATTATATTATTTGATATCTTTTATCTTTACTTTGTAAATCGATGTATTAACTAAACTTATTTAATTTTATAAATGGTATAAATAAAATTAAAAAATTTTTTAGAAACATTTTAATAAATAATTATATATTTTATACATAAATTTAAAATTATAAAGCATTTTATTAACAAATTGGTTATGTTATAAAAAATTGATTAATTTCACACAAATTATGTTAAACAAAATGAATGTAATTATTCATTAAAGCATGGGTTTCACATGTGTGTACAAAAATCTATTATTCTATAGAATATTAAAAACTTAAAAAATAAAATATCTAAAATATTCAAAAATTTATACATAGTTGTATACAAAAAGTATGCTATATTTTATTTTATTTCTTTTTTCATTGTGCTTTAATATTCATATAAAATAATATAAACTCAAACTTTATAGATATTGGTAAGAAAAATTTGGAAGATATTTTTTTTATGAATTTTAAAAACTATAATCTTTAATTATTTATTAAACAAGTTGTTCAGTACTATTGGCACCAATTTCCAAAAGTCGCCATGCAGATTTTGGATTTAATTCCATTGGGTCTCGACACAAGACCCACACATAATTTACTCGCATAACTTTCTCTGGATCACCTTCAATTACATTGCCTTTGGAATCTCGAACACACATTATTTGTTGCGTCATGAAGCTAATGGCTAACACTGGTCCTTCATCCATGACTTTGCCCATTAATAGATCGATGTTATCTATATCTACAAAAAAAGATTTCTTTATAAATATTATATTTAATTTAATATTAAATTTAATTTCCTAGTCTCACATGTCTGAGCTCAATAAAAATTTAAAGATAAAATTGACATTTTTTTATTGTACATGCATTTATATAATTCAATTTAAATTATATAAATACAATTAAGTTTTATTTATATAAATATTTACAAATACTTAAAAAATTTATGCATAAATACCATATTTTTAAACATGTAATTATTAAAATAAAATTTCGTGCTTACAAAAATCATAAATTTATATAAATGATATCAAAATCATGAAAATTATATTCATTTTCATTTAAATATTTAAATATATAATAAATGTAAATTAAGATTTTTTTTTAAATGCAGGAAATTTTGTTTATATTTAGTTTTCTTCAAATTATAAAAACATCGATTTAAATTATTAAATTTTTATTTCATTAAAATTAAAAAATATTTTAAAATGCAAGAATTTCATAAATAATTTAGAATTATTTTTAAGTATTTACATATCTACTTATATTTATGTTTATGTATTTATGTTGTAATATATGAATAAATATAAAACTTACTTTATAAAAAAATTATTACCTAAAACTTTGCTGTCCAATCGATAACCAAGCTTCAGTGCTTGAGTTAAGGGTTGAGCAATAACATTATAAGGAGCTTCATGACACCAATCTTTTAAAATTTCTAAATCACCTCGAATAATTGCCTCAAGTACATTAGGAATAATGTCAATTTCACAATGCCTAAGAAATTTAACTTTGTCGAAACTAGGATCAATTTTACAAATTTCTGTAAGGGTCTGTGATAATTCTGTTTTTTGAAACAGACCACCTAAAATATCAGTTACTTTGTCTGTAAGTAATCTTGAAGCTCGAACTACAGGATTTTCTGATGCTTCGTATTTAATTTTCCAATCAAGTACTTTATTAATATATGGATTTTTATCCTTCATTTAAAAACAAACAATTAGTATGCAAATATATCTATATTACATTAAAAATAACAAATTAAATTGAAAGATTAATTCAGAATAATAAATATTTAAAAAGAATACAATAAAAATATGCTATTAGTAAGATAATTAATTCGAGTTTTAAAAGAACATTGTCAATAAATTAATATTTTGTTGAACATACGTACTTTGAAATTTTGCCACGATTGATAAAATTTTGAATCTTTATGTAATTCTACTCCTGTTTCATCAAAGTTAGCTTCCACTGATTTGTTATAATTTATACCAACAATTTCTTTCCTTTTTCTTAATACTTTTGGAGCACTATAAACTCTACCTTAAATAACAAATTGACTAAATATATTACATTAGTTACTATGTTTAAGAATTTAAATTTATTTTAAAAACCTCGTATTCCATGCTGATCTAGCTCTTCTCGAACAGCCTCAGCAGTTTGTGAAATAGTTCGAAAGGCTCCTGTCCTACTGATAGCTTGACTTTTCTCTGAAATAGATTCAGCAGCTTCTTTTGCAGATTTACTTATTTCTTCACCTAATTGACCAGCTCTTTTTCCTATTTCAGTTTTACTTGCTTCATCAAAAACTTCTTTAACCTAAAATTGAAATAAAAATTATATCGTGTCTTTATGAAAATTCAACTTCTATTTACAACATTCACACACCAAAAATTACTGAAACTATCTCCTATTTTAATGAGTAATTTATAAAATTATATTTACATACTTTTTCTTTTAAATCTTCCATTTTTTCTTTTAGTACTTCTGAACTTTTATTTGCTTCCAATTCAACGGATTGAAACTTTTGCCTTGCTGATTTTAATGCATCTGATTGTTCCAGCTTTTCAGCTTCTTGTCTGAATTTTTTTAATGATTCCTTCATTTCTTTGTTTTTCTGCATGTCTTCCTTGATGTTTTCTACAAGTTTTGAAATAAAACCAGAATTTCGTTCGTTCGAATAAAAGCGACACATTTGATCTCGCATACATATTTGATTGTAAACTATGTATGGTAACAAATCCTTTAATAATATATTTTGTTTATAAAAAATAAATTTTGTTTCAATATTAGGAGGTCTGGCTATTTTGAATAGAAATGTTCTGCATACTGATAACTTCTGAAACAGATAATTTTTTATATTATAATACATCAAATTAAATTTTATTTCATGATAAATTAAAAGTTTTTGATTTAATGTAGAAATGTTACATAATATAAGTTAATATAAGTTTTATTTATACTATTAAATAATTGATTTTATATGTTATATAAAGTTTAGTTTTCTTCTTTAAATTAATTGTTTTGTTAAAAATACATAAAATAAATATATATTAAACACATGTTCTTTTATAATTATTAGTTAAAAATAAAATATTTGTTAAAATTTTTATATTATAATATAAAAGTATTATAAATATAAAGAATTGTAAATAAAATCGATTAAATATTTTCATCAAATAATATCAAGAATATATAACAAATTATTAGTTATATTTTGTAATAAAAGCATAAAACAAATTAAATCAAGAAATAAAAAATATTTTCATGCCGAAATTCATACTATTTTGAAGTAAAATTCATTCTTATACAACATAACCTCAAATTTATTATTAAAGGTTGAATATATTTATAAACTTATTCTTAAAAATAAATCAATTGAATATTATAATTAATATTACTAAAAAATATATCTAACTAATACTTTCATGATACATATTTCTAATTAATTTTAAATATTTACCATTTTAAAAAGAATATAATATAACCTTAAGAACGATAGAGAGAAAAATTAGAAATAAGGAAAAAAGACAAAAATTGTTTCTGTGAATAAAAATCGAATTTTTTGAAACGCTAGAAGTAACTTTGATAACCGCGTCTATGTAAATAATTTAAAAAAAAACTATTTTTGTTAAACGGTAATTTGTCTGTATACACATTTTTCACAAGCAAATAATACAATTTAGAGCATAAAATATATTATGATTCTAATATTGGATATTATACTGAAATCATAGTTTTATTACGAAAAGAAATAATCTTATCGATTAACGATAAATATGTATTTATAATTAATTAATTTACCTTTATAGAAAACAGATTTCAAAATTAAATTTTAGTTATTTGAAGATTACAATTTTACAATATTTCGAAATATGTTGAATAAAAAATCATAAACTATTTACTTATATATATGGTTAGAAACTACTATCATTCCTTATATATATATATATATATATTTTTAAATAGAAATGAATATTGAGTTATGCATATAAAATTAACATATCTAATTTTTAAGTACATAAACGCACACGCATATATATATATATATATATATATATATATATTGATATATATTGATATATATTTTGTATATACAGCTCTATTAATTTATAACGATTATCAAATTTTTAATGATTGTTGTTAAATTATAAGTTATAATTATCTTATACGTATGTAGAACATATTACAGTAATCATTAAATAAATATAAAAACAAATAACAAAAATTTAAAATTATTGTACATAATAATCAACTTTTATTCGTATGAGTAATAAATAACTTGCGTATTTTTTATCGTAAAAATCTGCTGCTTTTATTTTTTACAGTGTACAAATAATGTTATATAAATTTTGTTAAATTTTATTACAAAATAATATTTTGATTAATTTTTTTATTTTAGTATGAACGAGTCGCGTTATTCATTTACGGTTCGTATCACTAGACTCGAGTAGTTATTATATCGTTAAGCTTGATACACCAACGAAAATATTAAAATTTTTTATATTACTTTTAGTAAATTAAATTAAAAATTAAAATTAATATTTTTCTGTGTTATCTAGTCTTTCAAATATTAAAAAATGTTAAGATTTATTATAATTTGTACTTACAATTTTTAACCTTCGAAATTTAATAATTCTGTAATAATCTATATACTACTAATATTAATATGCACTGCTGATATAATAATTTCTTTTATAACAAAAATAATTACAAACACATTCGCACATGTATATTAAAAAAATATACATACACATTTCATATTATAATAAATATGTTAAATTAAAAGATACTAATTATTTAGTGTAATAAAAATTATTTGTTAAAATTTTAATTTTTTATATTGAATTTAATTTATAACTAAATAAAATTCTAGTCAGCCTTCTTAACTTTTTAATATTTATCTATCTTTTATATAGTTAAAAAAATTCTTGCACTTCATAATTGTATTGGATTTTACATTAGAAAACTATTGTATTATACAAAATTTATAGTATAATATTTAAATAAGAAATTTCAATAAGTAATTAGATCCTTCAAGATTCTGATAAATTTACGTGATATTTTATAAAAATGTGTATAATTTTCTTAATTACAAGCTTAATTATAAAATAGTTGCAAAATTATAAATAGTAATAAATTTATTTATAATTTTTGATACATTCATATTTATAGGTTATCAGAATGTTATCATCTGGCATTTAGTATCCAACCAAGCTCTTGCATTTTTTTTTACAGATTAGTTCCGATCTGCGAGTCTCTTATTCGAGGCCTTTACGATCGACCTTGATTTGACCATTGAGCTTCTTAAATTCTTTATACAATCTAAATATTTGATATGTTCAAAATCAATTTTATAAGTGTATTATACTTTTAAATGATTTGTTTTCCTCATATACAAGACAATACGAAAATAAGCTTTTGATAATTTATTTTTCTTTCAAAGAAATAGTTTTATAAAACTTTAAATATGTATACAGAGTCAATTTCTTATATTTTTCAATCACTTAACTTATGCATATATATTTTTTATATCCTAACTTAGTTCTTCATTTTGTTGAATACATTTTTTACAATGTCGTGGTTATATGTATATCAACTTATCTTCGAAAGTATTTTTAATATTTATAACTACATTAAATATTTTTGAAATCCATGAAATTATTGCCTTATCCTCATTCGCATTTATTTATTCAATTACTTCATATCCTATTTCTCTACATATCTATATTTTGTGTTTTAGAAATTTCTGAAAGTCTCTTGAAAATTTTGATTGTTTAAAAACTCTTTTTTAAGATTCGAATATTGCTAAATTTATTTTATATTTTTGAAAAACAGACCTAAGTAAATCATTCATTACTTTTTTAGGATGCAAACTCTTATTGTATTGTCTCGTATGAGAAGTATAAGATTTCATTGTATTTATCGAAATGAGTATGACTCATTTTGAAACGTACTTTAATTTATAATCGGACGACAGATTCAGAATCTTTTATGGGATATTAAATATTAATAAACTCTTTAAAAAAATTTCAAGCTTTAAAAGCTAAATATTGAATTAGTGGCTTACTACATAAACAACCTTATAAAGAAAGCTTACATGTAAAATATAAGAAATATAGTAGGATGCACTAACAGGTAAATTATGTAGTACATAATAGTTTATATAAAATTGAAATAAAACAATGCAATAGTTATTAATACATAAATTTAATTAATACATATCCAACGAATATTTCTAATTAATACTTAAAATTATCAGACTTTGAACTAACAAGGGTATTGAAATCAATATATTTCAACGTAGAAAAGCAAAACATTTATAAAACATGTTATAAACATTCAACGTTACGAGTTTGATGGAATAAAAAAGGTCCAAGAAAATTGAGTAACTCTAAAAAATGGAAAACTGGATGCAACTCTCTCACCTGAACTCGGCAATAATGACACAATGTCGCTCCTTAATGATTAAGAAAAATTGATAAAAATCATATATTTTAAATTATTTAAATATTTATTCCATTCTTCATCATTCAATTATTCATATTAATGAAATTAATTAGCAATTATATAATAGTTTCTATTCAACTTGTCATAACGACCTTGTTTAACGTTTTTATATCCGCTTACCGTTGTAATTCTTAGCCAATTTCTATTTTTTTTTTGCAAGGTTTTTTATTTTCATTACGTCTGATAAACTTTATATAATCTGCATTATTTAATTTTCATTTTCAAGGCATTTGTCTAATCTATTCATACAGAATTAATTATTGCATCACTTAATTCTAATTGTCTACTTATTTTTATTGAATTAAATTTCATTTATACTATTTATGACGAATAACATCATAATATTTTTTTATTTAGTTCAATAAGGCAGTATTTTAGTTAGAATCATTAAATGAAGCAATAATGAATGTCTGAATGTAATTTAGAGTAACAAGGTATATTAAAAATTCTCAAAATTAAGTTTAGAAAATCTTATATATTTCTCACGAATGTTTATGTATTATTCACTAATATATACTTAATTCCTGTCTTATTTGATAAAACAGTTTGAGTTACTGCTTGTTGTAAATATTAGATCATAAGCAATTAGGTTAATTTTTCATATGCCTATATGTTAAAAATTTTTTATAGGTAAATAATTATATAATTATTTTAACGTATTAATTTAAATGATGCATCAATACAAATAATCTGATCAATTTAGTTGTGGGAACTTTATTTAATTAAGACTATTATGGTAACATATATTAATTTTTTTCAATTAAAGATTTATGAATTTCTAAATACATACACACGAATATAATAAATATGTAACAACCGATTAACATCGGTTTAATAATTCACAGATGTAATAAGTTTTCAAATATGACCGTATAAATAAAAATAAAATGTTATGTCATTGCTTATTATTTATTATAACCTATATGTACTTCAACTATATTAGTTCATTATGAATATAATTTAAATAATATATGCCGACAAAAATAATATAATATTTTCTGTACATGTCATCTTTATTTCAATCAGGTTACAATATTACTGGGAATTATACTATAATGTTAAACATTCTTATATAAAACCAAAAATACAGAATATGTAAAAAGTTGTTTTTCATTTTCATCAATGAAGTAAAGTAAAAGATTTTGTATATTATTCAATATTAAGACTTAAATAAGGATGTAGATTATATTAAATAAGACTACACAAAGTAAACATTCATATTTTATATTCTACTTTTCTTGAATCCATACTTAAATTTTGTTTACAAATCCTAATACTATTTTATTACAGATTTAGATTAATCTAATTATATTTAAAATTTATAATATAACTTTTTGATAATTTGTAAATATTTACACATAAACTAGTCGATGTACTTAGTTGTGTAATAAAAATATAATAATGCATAAAATTCATAAACAATCATTTTAACATATTCACGATGCAATTATCTGCGTGATGAACTGAGTATCGATACACAGAAATAGATAAGTACTATACTTTGTTACTTTTATTTAAAATTATATCAAACTTTAAAATATAGTTTTCGTATTACAATATCCTCCAAATGCATCTATGGAACGTAACTCATACACAGCGTAGTAATTAAATATTCAATACCTTTAATATCTGAGACTAATAAAAAATTGCTTTAGTACAAGAGGAAAGTATGAAAACTCATGTGCAAATTATGCATTGTCAACAATTGCTTACCGACTTTAAAAGAAATTAATTCAAAATATAGTGCTTCACTCTTACTAAAAAATTCAACACATCAATTAATGTCATTTAACGCGAGATCTATGTACATTGACATGAGCTCTAAGTAATGATATTCAATGTATATTGTTTATTATATTAGTTCACAAGTAGAATGTTTTGTAGAATATAAGAATTTATTTTCTCCCTACGTTTTATTTTGACAATTTACATTAAAAGCTAATTATTGTTTAGTTTTGTTTATTTTAAAGCGTTTAAATTAA